AACAAAAGAATTTTGATTGATTTTATTCAATTAAATTGGAATAAACGTTTTTTTTTCCGATATTGAAAATAAAAGATACGGAATAAAGTAGAAAAGTCAAGTTTTTATCTGAAAAATGTTGAAAATAAAACGCATTTTTATAAATAATCACTTTATTAGCTCACTTTTTGAACTTTTCAAGACCGCAGAGGTTGAATATTCAAAATAAAGAAAACATACTATCATAGAACTAACAAAAAAACGATCGTCTTTCATTTCATTCAATTTCGCAAGCTGGCAGTTTGGTTACAGATCCTTAGTTCGCTATTTGTAGCACAATACATACAGATACGGATACATGAATAACAACTTGATTGTGAGTGTGAATTGATTGAGAGTGTGTGCGACATGCAAATGTGGATAATGCATTGGAGAAATAAAATACACATCAACACGTATAAAGCCGAATACTCCAACACACAACAATACATAGAGAATCGTATTTCATGTAGAATCGGTGCGGTCTACATACATGTGCTACAAAAATTAAGTTCTTCAGCTGAGCACAGTATTTACATAGCGAATGTGTGCGATCTATACTAATTCTACATAAAAAATGATTCTCTATAAATTGGTGTGTGTGTTGGAGTATTATGCTTCATTTTTTGCGTAGAACGCATCTATTCTACATCGCTTGAAGTGTTGCATGTGTAATACACATTGTGTATGTAATTAATTTCGATGTATGTGAACATTTCGCTTCTAATTTGAGTTCGAGTTAGCTTTCGCAATACAGTACGCCCTCGTAAATTAGAATCGAAATGTCCCGAGGGCAATTCTAATTCACGAGGAATTCTAATTTCGGAGGTTTTTTCATTTTCATCAAAAATCCAATAGCAAAAGCAAAATTGATAAGGGAAATTGATTGTTTAATCAAAAACATCATAATTCTTATCATATTCGTGCGATACATGCTTATTACAAGTATTTTAATGATGATAAATAGTTTGTTTACAAACGTAGAAGAAAAAAAATGAGTCAAAACAAAACTTATTACTTATGACTGTTTGTGTTTATATAAGGAATATTAATTTTTGATTTTATTTGAAATAATCCGTTAGTTGCTTTTGCTTTGTTGCTTTCGTTGTGTGTGCTGTTACAATATCGGAACGAAGGGATAACAGACTGAATGTATGTTTGATACCAACACTTTCGTTTTGGGCACACCATTCGATTAATTTGTTGACATGATCGATCGCGTCAGAATGTGGAATTTTCACTACAGCCGCTGCTTCTCCTTCTGAGTCAGAACTGTCGACGTCATCCAATTCAACGTTTTCTGTTGTGTCATTATTCCATTCTTCGATTTCATTCGTTGCTATTTCACTGTCCGGTGCAATTGAATTCAAAAGTGTTTGAACTTCACCCAAAACGTTTTCGTAATCAACAGTTGGTGCTCTTAATGATGACAATGGAACTAAATCCTCTTCTGTGTAATCATCTTTATCCCAGTTGTTTATCTTTGACCATGAATTTTGCAGAAGAGTGTTCGAGAAATTCGCCCAAACATCTTTCATCATTACGATTGCATCACGAATGTTATGTTCTTTCAAAGCCTGAATAATATTTGTGTTTTCATTTGCAACAACAGACGACAAAAGTAGTTTGCGATAATTCATTTTAAACACGTTTATTGGACTCTGATCCATTGGTTGTAGCACAGACGTAACGTTTGGTGGCAGAGCAATCGTAATTATATTTCCATCGTCAGTTTGCAATTCTTCATGGGCCGGACAGTTATCAATGAGCAAAATTGCTTTCGGCGGCAAATTGTTTTCTCTTGCAAATTCGCGAACCTTTTAATCAAAACAAAATGGAATAAGACAGCATTCACATATGTATACAATTCAATGTATACAAATTAATACAAACCTCCTTAACAAAATGATTGAAAAACCATGCACGAAAAATGTCTCGCGTCATCCAAGCTGATTTTGAATTCGCATACGGCAATGGATTGATGAATCCCTTGAAGCATCGCGGATTTTTCGATTTTCCAATTATGAGCGGTTTCACTTTGTGGGATCCACCTGAATTCGCAGTTAGCATGAATGTCAAACGTTCTTTTGCAGTTTTTCGACCAGGTGCGCTTGTTTCTGATGCACAGACGTATGTTCGTTTTGGCAACATTCGATAATAAATGCCAGATTCATCTGCATTATACAGTTGATCTTCGGTGATATTCATTTCAAGTATCTTTGCATGAAGACGATGGATAAATGGTGTGATAGAAGTCAAGTCCGCCGACAGTTTCTCGCCAGCTACGGTCAAAAATCGAATTCCGTGCCTCTTCTTGAAGCCTTCAAACCAACCGTTACTTGCAACAAATGCTGAATCGTCCTTATCAGGATACATTTCCTCGAAAATAGCTTTGGCTTTCACTTTGATAATGTGTGCAGAGATTGGACAGTGTTTGGAACGTTGAAACTCAAACCATTTGTATAATTTTTCTTCCATTTCCACATGATCTGGCTTGTGCAATGACTTCTTTTTAATTTCGTGAACAGTACTCGACACAGCTTCTAATATTTGCGACTTTTGCCCTTTAATATAACTTATTGCAGATTCACTGACACCATAGTCTTCAGCAATCCGTTTTGCCATCACACCGTTTCCCAATTTTTCAATAATTTCAGCCTTTTGTGATAAGGACAGTGTCACTTTCTTTCGTTTTCGATCAGACATGATGACAAATAAAATAAAATGAAATTAAAAATCGATTGACGAGCTGTTATTATTGTCTTGTTGATGGCTGACAAGAGACTAAATCATAACGCACATAATTTGCGCATTTGCATTCTCGGATTGAACAAGTCCAAACCGATCTGTTCATCGATTATATTTTTGCATGTAATCTGTTTGTGACTTACTACGATTTTTTGATGACTATCGCAGAAATGCACTTATCTGTTTATTTATGTTCAACGAACTGAATATTGAGCAGCTGTTCTTATTGACCGAGTAACAGTAAAAAGAATATTTTATCATTTTGTATACATACAAATAAGTGTACATAATTGGTGTACACAAATCACAAATCTTATGGCGAATCAAATATTAGACCACTTGTTTTTATCAATTCTGCTTGACCGCTAATAGAATGCAAACTGTATTTTTATCAAGAATTGTCATTATTCTTTATATTTTTATACGATATTCGGTTTATGTTCCATGTAAATTCAAGCAAAAATGAGAAACCTCGCAAATTAGAATTGATCCTCTTAAATTAGAATTTTTCCGTACAAATGTTCTAACCCGAAATTCACTTCTAATTTCGGAGGAATTCTAATTCTCCGAGTTCTAATTTACGAGGGCGTACTGTATAATCTCCTCTTGCGTTTGACAGCGATCATTATTCTGGAACTCTCCATCGAACCATATTGAATCGTAGTTGACAATTTGAAGTTTTTTTATTCTAAAGCAAAGAGCACAGCATAAAATTCTATTTTTGACATAATAATTAAAAATAAAATTCATTAAAAATTTACATCATGGAATTACAAGAGCAATTGCCAGCAAAGCGTAAAAGAGTGGAAAGTGAATGTGGAATCGATTCAGTGAACATACATTGTATGACGAGCAATTACGCATTAAAAGTGGCGGAAAAGCAATATTTGGACGAAGCAACGGCCGATGTGTATTTTCAATGCGGACTGGAATGTGAACGAATTCCTGCGCATAAAAGTGTATTATCCAGAGCAAGTGATGTATTCTACACCATGTTACACGGGGAAATGGCCGAAAAAGCGAGAAAAAATGAAGAAAAAAGGCGAAAAAATGATATAATTTCGGACTTTTTGCGATTTTGTGAGAAAAATGAACGGAAAATCGAAAATATAACTGAAGAATTACTTGATGAGTACCAAAAGGCAAACGAGGAAGAAGCAGAGGTTGAAAAAGGTGAAAAAAACGCCGAAGAGTTCGAAAAATTCAACGAAACTGACATAAAATTACCGTCGACATCGCCCGAAGCAATGAAGGACTTTCTGCAATTCTGTTACAAGGGAAAGGTGAACTTAAAAATGGAAAACATCACTGAAGTGATGGGCCTGTTGGACGTGTATCAAATGTTTGAATGTTTAGAAGTGTGTGGCAAGTACATGGAGCAACATTTGACACCTGAAGATATCTGTTGGGCATATGATTGGTCAATTCACTACAGTATGGACGGGCTGAAACAGTTTTGTGAGCGAAAAATCCTAGGGGCATTTCACTCGCATTCGAATACATGATCATTCGTGTACGAATCCTGCATTCGCAAAAAACAGTATAAGTATTTGCATTCGCTCCATGTATTCGTACTGCCGCGCGAGCATTCGCGCGACTCCGCATATGAAACGTATTGAAACACTCGCACATGTATTCGTCGCGAATGCGCTCAGTTGCGATGAAGTGTCAAACACAGTCAAACATGTGGAAAGATGTCAGACGTGTTTGAAAAATTACAACGTGCATTAGGTGAATCTCTACCAGAAATTTTACAATTAATTCTCACACATTCTGGATTTAATACAGAAAGCGCATTAGCTACGTTGAATACAAGCATTTGCGGTCGCAGGTGTCCGATTTTTTGCAAATTTGTTTCCGTTTGATTACAATTCTTGATTAACTGTGGCAACTGGATGATAAGCAATCGGTGACCCGGTTTAAATTTAAAATGATTCACATTCTCGTATGATGTTTCTTTGAGAATTTCTGGGTTTTCAATGACATAGTTCCCGATATCCATAATAGCATCGTTGTCAATGGACATTAGAGATGATTCATTTTCAAATGCACAGAATTCCAGGATTTTAATAATATCGGCCGAAATTTTTACATTCAAATATTTTTCTAATTTGAAAATAACATTTTCCAGTCCCTAAAATACAAAACACAACTTAAATTGATATTAAATTTGTATCGAAATAACTATTTACCATTTTGGTGAACTAATGTAAACAATGTAGTCGCAACGATTAACACAACAAATCAATATAGATCTGTCAAGTGCATTCGCATTCGCGCAGCAATATTCGGACGTATTTGCTAATGCGCCGTATAGATACATTAAATGGTTATTCGTACGAATGCGAATATTCGGCACGAATATCAGTATTTGCGAGTGTTTATATTCAAATGCATGGCAAAGTATTCGCGCATTCGTACGAATAGCAGTATTCGCATAGAGTGAAATCCCCCTAGGAAAAATCAGCATTTGCCCGGAAACAGTGTTCAAAACCAAAGGATTTCTTACGTGCGAGTACAATATTTTAGAACGCATTGTGAAGTTGGAGTCACTTACATGCTTTGAAACCTCTGTACTGGAGGCTTGCTTAGATTGGGCCCGAAATGCTTGTGAACGAAATGGATTGGATTCGCCACGAATGGAAGACCTACGAAATCGTTTAAAGGATTTACTTTATGAAATCCGTTATGGTTCAATTGATGTCATGGACTTTATTAAATTCATTAATAAGCATCCCAAACTTTTCACAAAACCAGAAGATTATGAAGAAATCATTCGCTTGACAAATGACCAAAAGGACTTAAAAACCGATCACTTCAAAGCATACCCAAGATCAGCAAACAAATTTGCATGGAATGCTGCGCAGGTGCTGAAATGCAATTTAAGAGCAAATGCACGGGAAATTCGTCAAGCGTATATATCTGCATCGGGAAGTTCAACTATGTTTACATCCAATCAGGCCATGTTATTGGGTGGATTTCATTGTGCAAGAATTATAAACACAAATTCGTTCCGTTTTTATGATGAATCACAAGATATTGAAATAAAAATTACGGAAATATATAAAAATGCCAAGAGAACTGTGTATTCTGGATGCAATAAATTTGATACAATATCATTTAAATTCATCGATCTCAGTCTCAGCCCAATTGCTATCAATCCGGAATATTTTTATAAAATTTCTCTAAAAGGAAAAATTCAAATTCCTATTTCTGCCACTCTACCACAATCAGAAATTAATTTAAATGCAAAAACTATCATCAAAATCAATCCAAAAGACGAAAATAAATATTCGATAATTGAACAACTTCATTTTGTTGAATTGTGAGAAAGGCTGTTCACACAGAAAAGAATCCCCGGAAATTTTGGGTGTTCGCCGTAAAATTTGACATTTATACATAAATTTCTATGTACATTTTACCGGCAACACTTAAATTTTCCGGGCGATGACATAATTTCAAATATTCCAACAGAAATTAGCGCCATCTGTCATTTCAAGCGGTAAAATATATATAGTATTTGATAAAATGTTCGAAAATATATCATCGCCCGGAAAATTGAAGTGTTGCCGGTAAAATGTATATGGAAATTTATATATAAATGTCAAATTTTACGGCGAACACCCAAAATTTCCGAAGATTCTTTTCTGTGTGTTGGAATTAAAAATAAAAAGGTGTTTTTGCATTTACTTTTCGTCCTCAACAAAGACAAATATTGTACACACAAGAACAATAAATGAATCGAAGAAGAAGTAACTGGTTTCAATGTCAATACTTGTAAAAATGAAAAGTTATTTTGATTATTTCACACAAGTAAATACGTAGTTGCGTTTCTTAGTATTAGTGATTTTTTTTTTCTCGAATCTATACCATAGTGACAGACCTGTGACTGCCAAAATTCGTAACAATACAGCCAAATTTTATTTTTCATTGAAAAGATTCCTTTGTGTTGGCGTAAAAACTATGGTCACTAACAGTTACTAAGAAATAGTTATTAGTTTTTTTTTTCAGATCAGAAATAACATGATCGCCACACATAGGTACACTGTATCTTTACTGTACTCCCATCAACCAACATCAATTAATCAAATAAAATTATTCCTTTCGTTTTGAACTCATTCGCATTCTCTATGTTTATTCAAAATCTGGTTTGAGACACATTCAATTGCTTGGCATCAAAATACATAGCAAATACAGTGTTATTCTACTCGACACAAACACACCTGTGTTCATATATGGGAAATACGTTGGACTATATGTAGCAAAAGTAAGTATTTGAAAGAATTTTTTCGCTTCAACCATTCAAAAAGTCTTGTC